AAAAAAAAAAAAAACATTTTTATGAATTTCTAACTTAAAATAATTTGCAAGTTTTAGTGATTCTTACGTAAATCATCAAAATTCAAATTTTATCAAACGCTCATAAAAAGTTATTGTAGATTTACGCTCAACTATTTTTTTTAACTTCTACTAACAATAACTTACGAGGAATCTTGGATTATATTTTCAAGTTTTTATCAGAGCAAAAATATTTTTTATTGATATTAATTTTAAAAAAAAACTTATACTAATTGAAAATTTCATAGCTCTACATGAGTCATGTTATGTTGACAATTTTYTAGGTTATAGAAAACTATAATATAAATATTCAGTGAAAACTTCACGCATTCTCGGTCATTAATTGTTTAAGACTTTTAGAATTACATCATAAACGGCATAAACTAAAATCGATTTTGTTAAAATCTGCGTAAGAATTCCCATTTTTCCTTAATTTTTTTTGTTTTTCCCGGCGCTTTTGAAAAGCACTAGAAATTTTAAAATTTGACTTAGATTCATTTTACCACTGGAAACATACTGAAATTGAAAATCGAAGTATTATTTCGACTACCTATATCGTGTACGCTGTAGACGCAATTCTTTAATTTTTTTTTGTTTTTGCCAGCGCTTTTGAAAGCTACTGGGAATTTTAAAATTTGACTTCTCGAACAAAACAATTAGATTTACTTTACCACCGGAAAGATACTGAAATAGAAAATCGAAGCATTGTTTTTGACTACCTATCGTGTACGACGCATTCAGACGCAATATCGATACAATGTATTACATATACTTAAATTTTAATAATATAGTATTGCGACAACGAATAAATAAAATTATCCGTTACCACCGCTGATAGTTKATAAAACAATATGGTAGTCACTTAGGATTGAAGTATTGGAATTTTTTCATACACTTAATATTACAGTCTACAACGTTTCAAAAGACTATTTATCTATTATATTTTTGACACATCTCAACAAGTGGATGTGTCCGTGGGAACTCTAGATAAAAATATATCTCTAATTTAAATTAAAAACAGTTTTAATTTTTTATCTTTTATTTACGCCAATAATAGTACTTATTTCTGAGCGTTTCGTTTTTTATTCGGTCGCAGTCGACGAATTCATAAACAAAATCTTTTGTCCCAGTTGCCATGGTCAGCCAGTCAATTGATATTTGTATTAAAGACCATCAAATTAATTTCTGGTGACATCCGCGTGTATACATATATATATACCGACAATTATTCTTTGATGTCGCATTTTTAAGAAAATTGTTTACTTTTTGTCTTTTCCATTTGTGTTTGATGAATTACGGGGTTTGATACATAAATTAAGTGAATTTTACATTTCTTGAATAGAAATCAGTGGTGTGATATGATAAAAAAGTGATAAGTCAGCAACAACATGTTCTAGTTATACAT